TAATATATTATTTGTGCCCCGCAATAATCCAATAGTGCGTTTCCTAATGACATCTTCTGTTATGATGTTGACCATCGCTATGGTAATAAGTGTCACTCATATTCCACTAAGATGAGGCCTGGTGGCTTAATGGGTGCCGCTGATCACTCGCACCTTTAGGCCTGGCGGTTCAGATCCAGTGTGTGTGTGTTTGCAAATTCTCTTTGCGCGGGTTTCCTCCCTCAGTCCAAACGCATACAGTTAGGTTCTCTGGTGCTTCTGAACCCCCTGCTGTATGTGTGTCTCTGCCCTGTGGCGGCCTGGCACCCCGTTTCCCTGCCCTGTGCCATGCTCTTCCTTAGATTAGCCCTGAGCTCCGTACGACCCTGCATTGAATAGGCAGTCGGAAGATAGATATTCCACTAATCCAGTTTCCTATTTAGGTTAGGTAAATGAATTTGCCGTTTGTTACATCTGCATATAAACCTTGCACTGCTATTCATTCAACCCTAATGTGATCCAACTATCCATAACGGACTCCAACGATGCCATAGGAACAGAAACAGATATGTTGAGTCAGATAAGTGACATGAATCCATTACGGCCATGTAAAAATCAATCATAAATCAGTTGATCACACTGTCTGCCTCTTCCCTCCACTCTCTATAATTAATACATCAGTAAAAGACTGTCACACATTGTGTGCATGCTTTGCAAAGACCCAGTTGCCCAGATGTTGAAAACAATGGGAGCTGGTTGACGTTCCCTTTTGTGAAGTCATTCCTTTATCTCCGTGGCGACCATGTTCCAAATACGAAATACTGTACGACAACAATGAGAGCCCAGCCCAAAACACATCTGTGGAATTCCGCCCCATTCAGCACAGGAGGTGTGAGGCAGGAAACACCTGGAAACACCTGGAAACACCTGGAAACACCTGCATCACATGCTTGCCGGTGACGCCGAGAGGCCACGCCTTTGAAAACACCGTTCCTGTCCTTTACAGCCATCATGCCAGAAAAGTATCCATAATTTTACATCCCCAACTATGAGCCAGAAGATGCAACTAGTGAAACAGCAAAGAGCAATATGAGAAACTCCCCCACACCCTGCTGTCGCCCCCCACAGATTCTCTGCAACAAAACAACAACAAAAATAACTGATGAAAAACAGACAACCAGCACCATCCCATCTCCATGGTGAAAATATAAACAAGGTCAGTATAAGCGGTAAGAAAATAGGTAGATGGATGTACAGCAAAGACAAACACCCTGTCAGGTCCTACTTCTTGGCGTTGAGCTTGTGCTCAGCTAATTTTTTTTTCATTTAATTTTACAGATTTTTTGATGCTGAGCAATTGATGTCCTTCTTTTCTGAACAGCTCCGTGGCAACCGGCGGTCCTTACATGTCTGCTCATAAACTGGAACATCATTATTTTTAACCAACTCCAAGGTGTCACTTTCAGGAGTGGCAAGCGAGAGGACACAGGAGGAACAAACCTGGGCTCTTTCTTTAATAACCAACGAAAAATCCGAAATCAATACAATTCATCATTCCTGTTATATCAGGAGTTAATTAAGAGCCTGCTAAAATGCAAAGGATATATAGATACAAATTAAGCCAGTCGTCATGCAGTTTCTAGGCAGTGATGTCACACTCCCATGGTGTGGAGACACATTTACTGCCAGCCCTGCATCGGAGAGACAACATCTGTTTTCAATGGTGCGTAAAACAGCCTCACTTTCATACCATGGTGGAAAAGGAGCATTCACTGCTTGAGTTGCAGATTAGACATTAGGAAGCAAAATTTATGTCCTTTGTGCCATTCATACCAATTCACAAGTAGTTTGTAGCAATTGCATTGTGTCATTTACTTTTTTCATTGTCTTTCATACTGGCAAACTACTTTAGTGCTGCTGGAAATATGAGTTGCCTCACAGAGGTCATGTTATGGTTGGGATTTACATTTTAAATTTAAATTTAAATTTTAAATTTGGGTCGTTCATGGAATTCTGCTTCTTAAAATCGCAAAGTCTGAAACTTTGAACATATACGCAAACTGTATTAGTAGGCGGGCCATGGGTTCAGGCCTCTAGCACATACATCCTCAGTCCATCTTCTTAGTACGTGGATAGGATCCAAATGCCTGCAAACCTGAGTTTTCTCCGCGGGGAGTGGGGGACGGTATACTTTATTATAGATGTTTTGCACTGAGCTGACTATCAAATACGTGCCCTCAAAGGAACAAAAGTTGGCTTTTTTCCCCCGGATTTCTCTGGAACAAACTGCAAAGACCTTTAATTTTTCAGACAAGCAAAGCAGGGTGGCATAATGCCGCCGTGGGGGGCCCTGCTCTCTGACACCCCCACGGCTGGGGATTTGAACCCAGCCCAATGATGTGCAGCCAGGTTAGCTGCTGTCTCCAAATTGCTCGTTTTGTATGTGCGCTGTGATGGACCAGCAACCCATCCGGAGAACTTCCAACGCCGCCTGGGACAGAATCCAAGCAACTCAGTACTGGGTAAGTGTTTAAAAGATGGATATTTGTTTTTATCAAACCAATTAGGAGAAAACCTAATCAAAACATGGTACAACCCTGAAACTGGAACAGGTGCCTATCTCAGTGTGTCCCATCAAATGGAAATTTCTGGAATCTAGTAAAGTCAAATATCACACAAAACAATTATTATGAATGAACGAAAAAAAAAAATGAATTCATGCCAGAGAGCTGCTGATAATGGCTGCATTTATCATATTTGAAATGCATTATGAACGCATTTCCGTGTCAAGTATTTCTAACAAACTAGCAAACTAACATGATTAATCATGGGTGGCATAAAGCATCAGAAAGGACAAGGGAACCAGGAATGTTTTCATTTTGAGAAAGAGATTTAACACTTGACTTCATAACACGAGTTATAATCTAGCCTATCATAGTTCATTAAAGCTCTTTTTCTACCAATCAGCTTGCAGACTAGGGCTGAAACGGTTTTTGTGAAACATTTTTACAAAAATACACAGATAATTATTGTTTGCCACCTACTTTAAAAAACTTGATCAACAGGATCTAAACTGATTTCACCAGTAAATATACATCTTCATTTTTATTCTGTTATTTTGCATTATTATTTAGCATTATTTATGCTATGCTTTGCACTTATTGTAAAAACATCAACACTGGCAACAGCTAAGTAAGTGTTAATTTTACATATATATATAAAACTGCTTTTGAAGTCTTCTGCTTAATTTGCTGTCCATTCTCATGTTCTGTAATCAACCTACTGAAACCAGAGATCTGTGTTCTTTTGTTACATTCTTTCACAGAAGTTCATAAAGGATGCTTTAGTGCAATACGATACTGTTAAGGATGATATTAAAATGCTTGATTGTATTATTTAGGAAACAATAAACCTTTAAAGTACTACACATATAAAGAAAGGTATAAGGAAATAATGAAACAAAATATAATTACAGATCTAACTGAATATATTTTGGTTAATTAATTGATAGTAAAAGAAATATATGGTTACCTTGTGAAATATGACACTTAAGAAAAAACTGGCAAAAAAACTGGCAAAGACAAAATCCAGTGCAGAGCAGATATTACTTACAGTCCATTTAGGTTTAAGAAATGAAACGATAAATAATTGTTCATAAATGGGCTTTTCTTGCCAAGTCCAGAATGTCCTCTCTAGTTTCTATGGAAACAAGCATGTTGGGCAGCTGAGTCACAAAACTATTGGATGTGTATACAGTGACCGCGGCTGCACGTGTGTTCGTGTTTTTAGTATGTGCAGGTCTTTGGATGCGTGTACATGTGTGCCGTGCCATTCTGACACAGTTGTGATTGTGGGAAAGTAAACCAACAACATTTTAATTATATGCAAATAGATTTTTCAGACCTCTAGTAATTTGGGTTGAAAATGAATTGCATAATACCCTTGAGTGGGTAGAAATACCTGCAGTGAAAACTAGATTTCAACTTAACTCCTTTAATGAGCTTTCTTGCAAAAAAATAAAAAAAGATCTAGGGTCTTGTGTTTATTGGCAAGTCGCAATAATGTAATAGCAGGTTGAAGAACTGAATTAGATTTGTTTTCCTGTTGCAATAACATACTTTTTCAGTTTTTTTTTTTAACAGAATACAGAATTTTGACTTTAACAGGCCACAAGCAATTATGTTTTCAACAACAAATATACATACAATGAAGGGTTCAATAGCATACTGTATATATTCAAAGAAAATTTTTCTACTGACGCCCCGGTCAGATTGCAGGTGTACGTCACACCTGCACGTGCAGCAGGATTTGCGGCCACAGGCCAGCCATCCATCACGTCCCTGACTATATGACACACCCAGCTCCCAAGCTGGCCGTCTCCCCCTGGACATCTGCTAAGACAGACTGGCATATTTCTCTCCAAATAAATATTGTCCGAGCTCATCCTCAGTATCCTTCTCTGTCTTTGCACATACAGTAGTAGACTAAGGTGAAGTTTCCCCCAGTCTAGACCACGGAAGTAACTGTGAGACGCTAGAATTTTCAGTATATAACACCACGTCTGTGTACAGTTACTTATATGAAAGCATATGACTTTGAGTATTATTATATAAAACACTTACAATACATTTACGATTCAGCAATAAGATTAATAATAATATCATAATAATACGGGCTTTGCTGTACATGCACAATGAAGTTAGAAATATTCTATTCCATAAGGAATAATAAGATTTGAATTATTCACGAGGATTTTTTTGTATTATAGGGCAGGGGTCCCCGATTGGTGGACTCGGTCCATATCTGGACTGAGAGACAGTTTAATCTGGACCATGTGATTAATTGCTACCCCACCATCATCTTGGCTTTGCGCTGCTGCTGGAATTTGGCCCTCAGGGATAAACAGTTGTGGACCCCTGTTGTAGAGGAACCACCTTGCTGTCTAACCACGCCAACAGGCCACGTCTCGTTTTCAGCAGTCACAGGATCACGAATAAGAGCGATGTAGCGGGATGCCGTACCTTCCGATGAGTAGGAACTCTCCGGCCACGCCCAGCCGCCGCATGGCCATGAGGAGCCCGCGCACCGTCATGCCCTCGCAGAAGCAGACGACCACGCGCGCCTTGGGCAGCCGCTCCCGCAGCTTCCGCAGCAGCCGGTCGAAGTGCTTCTCGCCGGCGTTGCTGTAGATCTTGTCCGAGTGGGCGATGCAGAGGCCCTCCTGGGAGGCCAGCTCCTTAAAGGCCTCCATCCCGCTCTCCCCGTAGTTTCCTGGACGTGGTGGCGAAAGCGATAGATCACGGGCCTCGGTCACAGAAGAACGGGGATCCAGCGCCTCATGGGGAAAAGGCCGGATCCCGGAGCATCTGACGTGCTCAACCATGAACTGGGATGAAGGCGCTTCAATATGATGCATTAATTAGAAAACGCCAACCAACCGGAATCTCAAGCATCACACCAACACCAACCATGTGAAAATGGACCGATAGATGGAGAACTTGCTCAATAGCATCATGATCTAGTGTTAAGGCCAGGTTAATTACAGGAGTGGCAGTGGTCGTGGGGAGGGGGGGGGAGGTGTTTAAGGATGAGTAAGGTCACGCTTCTCCATCCACTGACAGCACCGTCCTCGTCCACCTCAGAGTGACAGCGCACATTTGAGACCCCCTTGCCTGCATGGAGAGTCTGCTGCATTGTGGGTGTTCAGTCGGCCCCGGTAAGTGCAGTGAGTCGAATCCGGCTCCCTAATGGAGTGACTGGACCAGGGCCACACTAGGGAACGGCGGCCATCACAATTATCGAGCAGCAGAATAACAACCTATCCATTTTTTGGCACCGGCCAGTCGGGGCCGTACAGCTTTTTAGCAAGCCATGGAAGGTGCTCATAGTGTTGGGGGAGGGGGGTTTGTCATGGGTAATGCGTCACAGAGAAAGCCCCCCCCCCCCCCTTTCTGGATTATGGTCCATTTCCCTCTCTTTGCTGGAAAATGGAATTCTTAAAATGGAAAATGTAGAATCTCACCGAACATGTCTAACATCATGACACATCACGTGAACAACCATTGTCATGCGTGTTGCAGACAGCACAGCACTTATGTAGACATGTCAAACAGGTATCAAACACAGATATGGTGTGTTAGGCTAATTAACTTGGATAGCCTCCCGTTACTAACAGTGCATGTCAGACTGCAGTTGACAGTTGGAATTTCTTCAGCATTACAGCAGGGGAGGGACTGAAGAGAGGAGAGAGTCTGCGCTTATGTGAAAAGTCACCTTAGCCAAGACATTTATACAAAAATATTCAAGACTAGAGGCCTGCTGGCAGGAAGTTCTATGTGACTCATATTAATAAACACGAACTTTAAAATAATAAAGTGCCACTATAAAAAGCTTTTATGCTGAATATATAAGTTTATGTTATTAGTCTAAACACTGGGCTGATCTTCAGAGCTTTACAGAAGATCCCATCAACAACATACTCAAGAACGTAAGAGTTTTTAGCCTTCGAGCTGCTCTCCAGGTAGGTCATTATAAATGGGAAGCTCTCTGTTTCGTTTCGGCCATAACCTTGGTAAGCAGATCTTGGAAATGGAGCAGAGACATGAGAGCGTCGTTGAAGATCTTTGCAGATATGGTTGAGGCGTGGTATCTACTGACTTTGAGGACATTTGTCATGGAAAGTGGGTGATGGAGCTGAAAAGGGTCTTTCAGAACCCCAGAGTCTTAGAAATATCAGTCATGGCATTATCAAGGCAATTGATGATAATAATTTTACAGTTATACTATTGAAAACTACAAAACAACAAAAATGACAGCTTGGTCCACTGATTTACATATAATATGTGTAAATATTACAGTGTTAGTAATGTGTAATTGCCAGGATCCATAAAATCGCAACACAATTGAAATGACTAATTGCTTTGCTTGTATTGCATGGCTGGTTCCTTGATGCTTCTACACATCACAGCATCGTCGAGGTTGTGAGACTAAGAGACTAATATAGCAGTAGTGTGTTCTGAAGGACGGAGTGATTACGCAGAATGACTCCTCTTACCCTCTGTGTGCACTGCAGACACGTAGGTCCAGTTGTAGCGTTTGACTATGTCCAGCAAGGCCCTGGCCTGCAGAGTGTCAGAGGGGACGACTCTCAGGAAGTACTTGAAGAGTGTTTTGTCACTCAGGTCGATGCTGGTGGCCGAGTAGGCGATCTGGGGAATGTTGAAGAGCTGCAGCAGATTCTGCACCTGAATCGCCACTGAGCTGGAACCCGGGCCAATGACCCCAGCGATGGGCTTTTTGGTGGCGGGGGGCTGGTTCGAGGGGGTGCCGTCGACACACCACTTGGAACCCTCCTTGTCGTCCCGTATGGAAATGAGGGAGTCCCGGATGAACTCGATGCTTTGCTCCAAGGCCACGGACGAGTGCCAACAAGAGTCCCTTATCTCACAGCCCAAGCTGATGTTGGGTAAGAGGTTGGGGTCCGCGTTTATGAGATCCAGTGTGTGAAACATCGCCTCCACCCTCTGAATACCGTACTGCTCCCTGACCTCCCCGCACTTCCTCTCTGCCACCTTCTCCGCAGACGGCTGATGGTGCACAGAGAAGAGGGCCCCGATTATTATATCACCATCCATCCTCGCCACGGACCGCGATGCGGCTCTGGGCACCAGCGACCGCTCGAATATGTCACTGGCGAGCACAGATGCGCTAAGCAGCACGCCTGGGAACAGCAAGGCACCGATCAAGCTCATTTTGGAGTATGCCACACTTCCACGTCACGTCAACAATGTCACATCCATCTGGGAACTTCGCTGAGATGCTGAAAGTTGTTTTCTGGGATATCCACGTCTGGTAAGGTAAGCATTACGTGCGCACATAATTTCTTAAAGCGGTCCACATGAGCACAGTACCTGTTAAGAGAAAGAAATAGCGGCTCTTTCAATTTTCTGAACGGCAGTACCATGAAATTTAATCATGCTCTTTATGAGTACACTTGTTGAGTTTATAACACATGTAACACATTTTTCTCCCCTCGTCAGCGCTCGATTAAAAATGGGTTGAGCTAAGGAACGTAATTCTTCGCAAACTATACCAATGAAACTTAAACCTCAGCTTCCAAATAGCGGACATTATAAATTCTTTTAAAATACGCGTTTAAACATATTATCATTTGGAAGAGCAATATTCATCTAGTGCTTATCATTTATGGAGTAACTTAATTTGCAGCTTTGTCATTCTGACACTTTCAGCACGCTGGACAGCGCAACGATTTTTGGCATTTTGAAACGCTTTTATTTCTGGGGGCGGGGGGGAGGTTGTATAATTGAATGTATATAACAGATATAATTTCCCCCCTGTAATTTAGTATAACTGCAAGCCAACGTTTTTAATTATTTATTATTCATCTGCGTATTGTTTTATACGTGAAGAACACTGACGTTGATCTCTCCTTTCATAAACATGAACGCAGAAAAAAAAAGCATACGGTGCTTTAAACAAACAGCGAAGCAACACATGACGCACGCTATGGAAACATTATTCTTCGTTATTTAAGACAATTTAAGTAATCACCTACTTTTAATGCTATGCCAGCCACATGGAAAATACATGCATAAATTTGACATTTCTTCTGTACGCTGGACAATATTCGACTTATTTATAAAGATTCCTTCTGGCTTTCGATTTTGATTATTTAGCTTTTAACAAATAAGCCTTTGTGCATTGAAAAACACAAATAATATGGCACATAAAAAGTATTTACCTTATTGACATCACATGCAATTCTGCAAATGAGCGGTGGTGCCCACGTCGCTTGTAGCCCAATTAATTCGGTGTAAGAAGTTCGACATACCCGCATCGGTGAGACATCGCGTCCCTCCCAGATTTCTGAGCCAGCCAGTCCTTGCTCCTGCTACTTGTTTCTAGCGCTCAAGTTAAGGGTCTCTTGTTTCCCACCTTCTGAGCGCTAGTGCCCCCTTTCTCTGTCACTTACGCAGTACATCATAAAACCGGGACACACACGCTGCAGTGTGTGACCCCGATTAACGGAGAGGACATTCAAGAGCATTAAAGGAAACCATTATTTTCCCCTATGCTGTGTCTGTATGTGTTCTTTCTTTCATGTTTATATAAATAGTTATTGGCTAAGGCACCGAAACATAGGCTGCAGATACATTCAATGAATAATCGGTCGTTTTTAAGCACAAGGCAACTTTTCCCCCAATTTAATCCCTGGTTTTGAATGAATCCTTATACTTACAACTCCCAGAGTCAAAAGTTTAAAAAGTAAATATAATAGTCCTCGTACAAATTTGCAGTTTTCTCTTAGTCTGAAGTTGATTGGACACGTTAATTGAAATTTATCATCGCACTGCGATGTGAATGAGGAAAAGCTATTACCTCATATAAACGTGTGGTGGCGCCATCTCCGTGTAAGAGGTGATATAGTCCATAATATGACCTAATTAAGATATCCCAGATGTCATTCTGTTCTACAAATAATTTAGATGTCAGCGATTTATTTTAGTATTTTATTGTTCGATGTTATGCCAGAATTTAGGAAGTGCATTAAGAGGAATCCAGACCAATATTTTTCATAGCAAAATTAATATTTGGTAGTGAGGGAAATCAGATTATATCCTGACTTTCGGATTTAAAGCGAAGTGAAAGCAAAGATTAAGCCTGTCGGGGTAACTGCTGCATAACTGTTTTGGATTTACATGAAATAAGTTAGGATTCTCTACAAATTCGCAACATGTTACAAAGAGGAAGCAATTAATCTTTCTGGCCGTGTCCCCTACAGTATCAAAGCCAGACAGTGTAAAACGAGACAGGAGAGCGTCTATCTCCTTGAGGACCAAAGACTGATGAGATGCTTCTTCCACTTCCAAGGTCAATATGGACAAAACAAACAGAAATATACAGCATTTCATCATTCTCAGACGGGATCTAAAGCAGAGCCTATATATTCATCTCGGTATGACATATAATAATACTCCCCCCCATTAGATACAGTTTCACTCCAGTGAAGCGGCACATTTGTGCAGATATTTCCCAGTGGCCAAAAGTTTACCTTTGATCCATTGAGTGACCAAGGCTCAGGCTATGGGATTTCATCATGATTATCAAAAAGTTGGGAACTTGTCTCCAAAGGTTGAAATGAGTGGGCATAGAAAGTCACCACCTTTTGTCAAAACTATTAACTTTTTTGAACAACAGCCTAAAAACATACAACAAATTGAGCCTGTTTGGACCACCACCAACTGTGCATGTCTAGAGGGGAAAATATTTGCCCGTTCTTCTTTACAGAATTATTGCAGCTCAGTCAAACTGTTTGGTAACTGTTGATGGATTGCACACTTCAAGACAACCTAAAGATTTTCAATGCGATTGAGGTCAGTGCCCTGACTCGGCCATTGGACAATGACCCTACTGACATTCAGCTACTGCGCAGTATGCTTTGGGTCACTGTCATGCTTAAAGGTGAACCATCTTCCATCTTCACCTTCCGGCAGCATGTTTCTTCAACAACCCCTTGGAATTTTGCACCATCCATTATCCCTTCTGTCCTCTCCCTGTCCCAATTAAAGAGAAACACCACAGAATACAGCCACCATCGTGCTTTACTGTACAATTGGTGCTCTTCGGGTTTTACACCAGACATACCTATTTACATTGTGGCCAATAAGGTTGCTCGTACACTTCTGACATCATAGAGACATGGACACGATGACTTGTCATTGCTATGAAAGTCTGTACCTCTGTCAGAGTTACCTGGAAATCAATGGTGTTCCTTTTGAACTGTTATTTGCTTGAACATTGATAGATGACATGGCCAAGACAAAGTCATTTGAAATATGTTTTTGTCATCTTGTCATCCAACATGACTGACAAGAATTTTGTATGGATACTGAAAGTGGCTTGGTAAATAAGAACATACTGTAAGAAATTTACAAACGAGAGGAGGCCATTTGGCCCATCAAGCTCGTTTGGGGAGAACTTAACTAATAGCTCAGAGTTGTTAAAATCTTATCTAGCTCTGATTTAAAGGAACCCAGGGTTTTAGCTTCCGCTACCCTAGCAGGAAGACTATTCCATACTCTAACTACACGCTGTGTAAAGAAGTGCTTTCTCAAATTCAGTTCAAAATGTTCTCCCACCAATTTCCACCTATGGCCATGAGTTCTAGTATTTATACTAATATTAAAGTGGCCATTTGGCTGAACAGCATCCAGACCCATTAGAATCTTATAGACCTGGATCATGTCCCCCCTTAGTCTCCTTTGCTTGAGGCTGAACAGATTCAGCTCAGCTAACCTCTCCTCATAAGACATTCCTCTAAGACCAGGAATCATTCTCATAGCCGTACGTTGCACCCTTTCCAAGGCAGCAATGTCCTTCTTAAGGTATGGTGACCAAACCTGCACACAATATTCAAGGTGGGGTCTAACCAAGGAATTATATAATTGTAGCATCACCTCCCTTGGCTTAAACTCCACACACCTAGAGATGTAACCCAACATCCTATTGGCCTTTTTTATTGCTTCCACACACTATTATTACACTATTTATACTTCTGCTCCCTGCATGGATTACCTTACATTTATCTATGTTAAATTTCATCTGCCAGGTATCAGCCCAGTCGCTAATTAAATCAAGAACCCATTGTAGCCTCTGTGCTGCTAATTTAGTATCTGCTACACCACCCACCTTGGTGTCCTCTGCAAATTTAACCAGTTAACTGTATGTATTGTTTAAAAATGACTGTTATCCACCTAAGACTTCAACACTTTCTTCCATAACAGATCACGGTGGACTGGTGATCAACATAACAGAGAAATGTATTCGGTTTGTAACAGATACAGAGAAAGTTTCGGGGGAGGTAACTCCAAAGCCAGCTTGGTTTAGAATGCATCCCTCTGGCTTAAAATAGAACACATCACTGTGTGAATATTCCCCCAACTCTAGGCAAACAGACAACTTCGACCTTGCAATGGATGGGCCAAAAAAGGAAGAAAAAAAAAAACACAGAATATTACTATATCATATTGTCTTCCTACTGAGTGCAGAGGTGTTCAAAAAGGGAGAAAGCTAAATGGAATTATTCTGTAAATCTAATGCAATGTACGTGTATATTTAATAACAAGTCACATTATTGTAAATGGTATATTCAATAAATATCCCATTTATCACATTTAATATACATCAATTAAATATCACAATAGCGCTTGTAAGCCATAAAAAAGAATGCCTTTATGGAGCAAACAACCCATTAATGACAAATGAGCTCAATGATCCACGCGATTTACCAATTACACTAATACAATGTAAACTAATTATGTAACGCAATTCGATCATTATAAAAGGGTAAACAACGCCCCCTGGCGTCTGCTAAGACGATCAGCAGCCAGCCGCACGCTCGTCGCGAGTTAAAGGTTTTACTTCCTGTTGCTGCATTTAAAAATGGCGCAGCGTTGGTCACCCAATTCCACAATATAAACTTGTTTGATGGAAACGTTTCGGTGTGATTTTATCGCTGCCTTTTAAGTGGTTCCTCTGATTTCATCCGCCACCAGGTTATAGCGACAGTGATATGTGCGAAGGACCTTGTTGGTAAATACTGTGTGGTTGTCTTTGTTCGCTGCTCTATTCCGAGCCATTTGAGTCGTATTAAACTGTTTTGTCCAAATCATGCTTCTCATCTGCTATCATTATTATTATTATACTTAATGATGCTGAAATACGGTCGCTGTATGTAAATGTTGCTGGCATTGTTGAAATGATCGTGCAGAAATGTATGCAAGTTATATCAGTTTGGTGCAGGTAGGTCGATTGCGTATCTACTGTAAATACGGTTTAGCACTATGTTGCACATAACGATCAGCTTGATCCTTATGAAGCCGACGAAGTTTGAGGTGGTGCGTGGATCTAAGGCGTTGCGTTGCACTGAAGTAGGTGTCAAATGCATCAGTATCGATGGCGATGGAGTTCTGTGGTCACAGATATGTTCTGGCTCCTCTATTTCCAGTCGTGTATCGTCGGTGTTATTTATCAAGTAATGCCGCAGAGCGAGACAGTTGCGCCGCCTGCACTGACCTACTAGTCTAACGTGGCTTATGAGGTCAATATGGAAGTTTTCCTTTTCAATTGGGTACTTAAGTGGGCTAAGAAGCCACTGCAAAAGAGAGCAGGGGTCAGATCCCTGAATGAGAGCTTTTGGTGTTTTATCGCTGAATAACTGTGAAAAACAAAATAATTATAGCGCCCTCTTCGGAAACTTGATTTCAAGCTTTCGTACATTTGCAATATCACACCAGCGGCCTTTACAGTGAAACTTTTATACAATGAGTGTCTGTACCTGAATGTACATTTATGTCTTTTTCCACTGCCAACAGAAGTCTCCTCAATGAGTAACAGAAGGAAACGGGCTCCGCCTGTCAGGGTGAACGATGAAACCAAAAAGAAGCTCGACTGGAACATGCACGAGGACAGAAGGAGTGAAGCCATCATCCTGGATGACGACCACATCCTGTCCTCAGAGTCTTCGTTGGTGTCTTCCTTGGCCGTGGGAAAAGATGACCTCGAGGCCAGCTGCTCCAACTCCTTAGTGCTTGCTGAGCCCGGGCAAGAGCCCTCGTGTTCATCCTCGGAGAAGCCCCCGCCTTTCAGGCTGGCGTTGGTGCCCGTCTCCGACGGGGACCAGGCTTGGAGGGCGTTACTCGGCGAGTTCTACCTCAGCACCAGCAGCTTTCCCGTGGATCTAGAGGACAATCGCTTTGTCCTACAGCGGAGTGGTGATCGGCTTAGTATGTTCCCTCTGGAAGATGCTGGAGCCAGAGATGAGGGAGAGTCTGACCAGGCCACCGTATCTGACTTTCCAGTAGAGTGCTCTCTTGCTGTCCCAGTGTTGGAAGACCTGGAGTGGCTGCAGAGAAGGAGGATCATCCAGCTTTGTCATAAACAGGACAGGGTGTCCATCAAGGTAACATAACGATGTATAATTACAACTTGCACAGAAGATCTGAAGTTATCATTTATGTTGATGGATTTTATGTGTTGAAGCTTAGGCTCCACCAGGCCATCCGCTATATACGTTTCAAACCCATATCACTTTAATATCTATGTCATAAACATTCTGAAAGCTGGATCCACTTTTTGTGACTTTCCCATCATAAATGAAAAGACCACCCGTGGCAGAGAGGTTCAGTGGTTCCCAAATGTTTTGGGCCACTTTGGATCAAATCAAAGCAGCAAAGTACCACACGGGTGGAAAAAAAAACCTGAATCACAGCGACAAATTACCACAGTCTTCTGATGTACCAACTGGGGGTGTTCTGTGTACCACTGGGGGTAGGCGTTGCACACTGAATACACTGAACTAAATAAATCAAAACTGTTTAGTGCATTTTCGCCCTTCTTGACAGGTTGGAATTTACCTGTTGGAGGCCGGTTTGGGACGACCGGAGTTCCTGAGCGAGGGGAACAGCAGGATACGAAAAGTGAACCAGCTGATGCAGAAGCTGATGGAGTTCTTTTACGACTTCATCATCCCCGGTAACCCACCGCCGGGATAACCTGTGGTATTCCCTAAATCTTTCATTGGGGGTGGCAGGGACGTGTGAGGATATTCGAGGAACGTGTCCCTGTTTGCCCGGCAGAGGTCGTGGAGGGCGAGGAGGGGAAGTGCGACATGGAGCTGGAGCGGCAGAACGTGGGGGAGCTGTACGATTACGTCAGGCACCTGCACCAGGTGGAGGGCCTGGATCTGATGGTGCAGGTCCAGCATGAAGCCCTCATCCCTGTCCTCAGACCCTATCAGTGTCAGGCCGTCAACTGGATGCTGAAGAAAGAAAGATACGGAAAAGATGCAGCGACGCAAGGTGCTCTTGTTTATTTTCCATCCATCTTTCATGTGTCCTTATCCAGCACCAGGTCACCGTGACCTGGATCCTCTCAGGAAGCACTGGGCAGGGACAGACTACCATATCTCAAAGGATATAAGGATTCAAAGTATTCAACAGCTTTATTGTCATTTGTACTGGCACAAGAACTGAGTGCAATCAGACGCTTATTTGTTTGTTTCCTGCAGATTGGGTAATTCAACACAGGGTAAGATGACATGGGACAAAAACTTAGTAACTGGACATAGGACAACAAATGTCTAAGATAAGAAATTTTATGAGGCAACTTGTGGACAGAAAACACCATTAGGTACTAAGATGAGAGAAATACACACAAAAACGTTATACCTTCCATTGACTCCTTTCTGTTGCGTATTATTTGTCTTGCATTTATTTTTGATCTGTACTTGTTAATTTCCTATTGCCATGTCCCTAACAGTGGCAAATTGTGCCAACAAAAATTTCCACTGGCTCTGCTTGTGTGGCAATAAAGACTGATTGCGATTCTGATCCCTGGAGGTGTGCGGCTACCCAATGATCCACCCTGTGTTTTTATTTTGCATCCGCAAAATAATTATTTTTAGAGTCAATGAAGCGTGAGGATTTGCTACAGAGACAAAATGGCACTTTTGTCAAGGAAATGGACTGAAAACAAAGTGGGTGGTGGGGAACAAGATGGGACCTGGATGCAGAATGTGAAAAAAATGTGAAATATGACTCAGCATTTCTGAACAAAAAAAAGAATAAATTATTCTTCCTCCCCCTGCAGAGAGAACTATGCATTTTCTTTGGAGGGAAGTGGTCGCTGTTTGTGAAAAAAAACTGTTCTATAATCCCTACACAGGCTGGTAAGTACCATGTGACGTGTGCATGAAATATAAAAGTAAAACTTTTTATGTTATGAGAGACCATATGTGGGAAGTGCATGAAATTAATAGTATTTAATTAAGATGTAACTCTACTCTCGGTTCTCAGCCTTATTCGGGAGTTTCCACTGGCTGGGGTGGACTGGCCCGGAGGCATCCTGGCTGACGAGATGGGGCTGGGGAAGACTGTAGAGGTTCTGGCTCTCATCTTGGTCAATACCCGGAAAGGCCTCCAGGGCGGCGCTCTCACTCTGCCTGCAGTTAGTACTCGCTCTGTTTTCCTGTCGCTTTTTAGCCTGAAGCACAACTTGAAACACAGGCAGTTGGTAGTGTTGTGGGTAAGAGTATTGCCTTGTGATTGTGTTAAAGCTTCAAGTTGTAGACCGTTAACGCTGACTCCCCCAGCGCCTTCCCCAAATCCGTCCCTATAATCAGGGAGGTAGGGAAATGTACATTAGGATTTAATAAAATAGCTTGTTTTTGTCATTCTGAAAGGCTGCTCTCTTTCTGGCTTCCAGGGGAAGTCAGTGAACTATTTTGTCCCCCCACCACCTACAAAGAGGGAGGGGACTGACCATTACAAGCAAAAGATGCGACCCAAAGAAAAAGTATCGTATCCAGGTACTCGTTGGCGTTAATATGGTTCAATATTCTGTGGCAAAGAAGTACCCATTGATGGAAGCTTTAATGTTAAATTAAACTGCTGATGTGTGTTAAAGCGCCGCGACATATGGAGAGGTGGAATTCGAACCCGTGACTCTATAGGTGTAGAGCTAACCGCTGAGCCTCTATTTTCCCTTCCCTCACAGCCGTACGCGTGATGCTCCTGACCGCCATAAAAGAGATGAGGGTGGGAAAAGGAGCCTCTATGAACGCCATCTTCACGTACATCCGCGCCACGTACGGCTACGACCTGCTGAAGAACCGCGGCCACATCCGGAAGGCGCTGGACAAGCTCATCAAGGAGGAGATGGTGGAGCAGGTCAAAGGTCGAGGGCTGGCTGGCTCCTTCCGGCTGGGGAAGAAGTATAAAGAAAGCAGGAGGAAGGGCAGCACTGGGAAATCTGTGCGTACGCTTTTTTACGAAATGAAGGGCGTTGGATAATTAATACCATCATTTATTTTCTAGTACTAAAAAGAAGTTTGTCTTAAGAATTAACCTCTGGTAGAATGGATGGATGAAAGATTAGTCTTTTGATGCGAAGGAGAAACCTGGTAACCTTTTATGAATTTTGTGTTTTAGAATCAGTGATATGAGCAGCATATAACCCTGGGGAACCCAGAGCACCTTATCATTATAGGAGAAATATGTCCACTGGCTAAAATGATCATACAGACCCAGTGAACTCAAAAACAGGTGTTTTGTAAAAAAATAACCGTTTCCCAGTCCATGTTATGAATGTGCCGTATACGACCTGCCGGACTGTTCATGCTGTTCCAACTTGTTCATTTCACCTATGAAATAAGGACAGAAAAGAAGGAAAAACCAAATCTTTGCAACATTCTCATTTTCAAAATGCATTTATTGTTTTCCTTTTCATCATTCACCATGTGCTGGCAATAAAGCACAGTCTTCAAACATGCCAACCCATCAAGAAACAGGTCAAGTGAACAGACCTGCAAAAAGGTGTACTGCACACAGAACGTTTACCTGGGGTGGCTTGTAAGGTCTGGTGCACCATCTGTATTCCCTCTGTTTTTGTCTGAGGCTGATGTTGAGCACATGGAACATCATCATCACAGCTGTCAGAAAAGTTTCAAAATATCCAAAACCCAGCTGTACATGTTCTATAACAGGGTTATTCAACTCACGGTCCTCAAGGTCCGAGCACTGCTGGTTTTCCAGCCTTCCTTTACCTGTCAGTCAGGTGTGAAGCCTCTGACCAATCAGAATCAGTAATTATTAAACAACTACCTGGGAGAACTGAAAACACGACCTGGATTTGGAATCAAGGTCCAGAGTTGAAGAACCCTGTACTATAACATCAAAACATTATAACTGATGATGCACAATTTCTTCCACTTACCTATTCACAGCTTGACAGGTGAATCTTTGCGGCATGTACAGCAACAACCTCAAAATGCGGTGGGGGCCATATTTATTGTGGAAAAAAAATCTGGTTAATTCAGTCAGTAATCACTAAATGTCACTGTTACTGGGTCATATATGGTACAATGGGCTGTAAAGCAAAAAAAAATTCTTAACTTTGATGAGTGGGTTGAATGTAAGGCAGAAATAAAAGGAAGGGTCATATATGACCCCGTGGGTTCCCCAGGGTTAAGATGAGATGTGCTACCTGGCCACAATGTATAAATGCGTTGTTTTACATGAAGCACAATTTATGGATATTGCGTAAATATTCATTTTGTGTCTTTCCTTTCCCTTTAAGCAAAAGGCAGGCCACCAGGAGAGTAAGCAAAGGAGAACATCTTCCAGGTTTGCCAGACAGGTGAAGGACACCAACATAGAGCACCCCCTGGTGGAGGAGTGTCTACACAGCAGCATCTCTGCGGGGCCCCTTTCTCCCGAGTGCCAACATGAACTGGACGATTCGTCGGAGGGGAGGAACTGTAGCACCCAAGATTCACAAATCACAGCCCCGGCAGATGGGCCTGTAGGGGGCGCCGGAGAGACAGACATGGATCCCCTCAGGGGAAGCAACCAAGAGGTGGTGGTGGGTGCAGACGTGACGGATGTACCTGCCCGGGCCTCGGCGGTTCTACCATTCAACACTCCTGACTACCGGTTTGAGTGTATCTGCGGGGAACTGGGCCTGATCGACTATAAGGCTCGGGTCCAATGCCTTAACTGCCTCCTGTGGCAGCACGCTGAGTGCGTCAACTACAAGGAGGAAAGTCTGGGGAAGACGCCCTTCTACTGCCCACACTGCCTGGTGGCCATGAAGCCAGTGCCCACGCGGGCCACCCTCATCATCTCTCCCAGCTCCATCTGCCACCAGTGGGTGGACGAGATCAACCGCCACATCCGGTGCTCCTCGCTCCAGGTTCTGGTAAGGTCTTTCTGAGGGTGCGAGAACCTTCTGGGACATCTTGTTGGACTGCATGCGGAACATAATTTCTCAAAGCTGTTGGTTTCTGGGGCTCCACCTCAAAGGCATTTCGGAGCCTGCTGCTTGCCCTCAGATGTTCCAGAAACTAAACAAATCGCTGGCGAGTCAGAAGCTTGTAGCTAGCGTGCTGGTTAGCAGAACACGCTGCTTTACCATCTAAATGGGGAACACATTTAATATTTAGTATGGTGACTGTTAGTGGTCAACTGGGGGGCCCCCAAACCTCAGGAGCCCCATGCAAATGGATAGTTTGAATGATGGTAAACATCACTGCTGGCCCCTTGTCCGGATCACTAAGAGAGCCCCCTACAGGTACACATGCACATTGCGGTTTCTTGTTTCCTCATAGTAGTTTGCCATCCATTGTGTTCCTTTCTACCTCATTTTTCACATGCCTGGCTTTACGTTTCCGCATAGTTGCACGGCAGTTTAAAGCTGTAACTGTAACAAAGTGCCCTGAAACATGCTCTATATACCAAAAAAAGAAAAAAACAGCAAAAAAAGGCCCCTGTTTGTCAGGATGGTTACAGAGTTAAGTAGTTAAACCCAGCAACGCGCCATTCCCTGGGGGGCTGGTTTTCAGCTCTGGTCCCGGGGGTACGCCGTGGGTGTGTGCTGGCTTTCGGCCCAGTCAAAACCTCCAAGAATGAATCTAAGTCTCACAGCTCCAACTATGGGGAATCAGACGATGAATTGTAATCAATGTTCATTCAGTACTGTCAATGCATTGTGGGACTATGGGATGATATAAACGTCACTCAAACTTAAATTTTCTCTTCTTTTTGATGGAAAGACAGACCACTTTACAAGTTATTTCTACAATCTTTTTCTTTTTGTTTATTTGTTCAGCTTTTTTGTTTTGTTTGTTTTGTTTGTTTGTTTAGTTTGAATTTATGTAGCACTTTGTTTGAGATTTTGTTGTTTTAAACACCTAAACATTTTGATTTCATTTCATTTTGTTACCAGAAGAAAGCTCGATTTTTGGTTTGTTTTCTTCACCGTCCCAGGTTTACAGCGGCGTGAAGAAGCACGGCTTCGTGCAGCCTCACTTACTGGCCGAGCAGGACGTGGTCATCACCACGTACGACGTGCTGCGCTCCGAGCTCAATTACGTGGACATCCCACACAGCAACAGCGAGGATGGCCGCCGCTTCCGCAACCAGAAGCGCTACATGGCCATACCGAGCCCCCTGGTGGCCGTCGAATGGTGGCGCATCTGCCTGGATGAAGCCCAGATGGTGGAGTGCACCACCGCTAATGTGAGCTTTCCCTCGTGGATGTTCAAAGTACACCGAAGCCACGTGATATTGTATCTCACATGCAGTGAGGTTCACTGTACGTTTGTCTCCCCCTGCAGGCCGCAGAGATGGCATTGCGCCTTTCTTCAGTCAACCGCTGGTGTGTCAGTGGGACTCCCGTGCAAAGAGGCCTAGAAGGTAAAACCCCAAGTCATCCTCATGGGGCAACATGGTCTAGCTGGTGACAAGGTTGTGGTCTGTGTCTACAGAGGTTGCCTCTCTAGACAGTTAATGTGTTGCATCACTCCCCCGCATAGATCTATACGGCCTTGTGTTGTTCCTTGGGGTTGACCCCTACTGGGTGAAGTACTGGTGGGACCAACTCCTCTACCGCCCCTATCGCCGGGGAAACACAGAACCCCTCTATAACGTCATTGGCCAGATCCTGTGGAGGTCGGCCAAGAAGGACGTCATTGACCAGGTCTGGTGAATTCTACAAAGACAGATCTAGTAAATAGTTCAAGAATGATTTATACCGATTATAGTCAATGTTTTTTACTTTGTTTCTGTTCAGACATTTATGTATCTTAATGAGGCACCAAAATAAGTTCCAAAAAGGTTCTTTCTTCGCTAATCCACACCAGATTCAGATTCCACCTCAGACCGAGGAGATCCACTGGCTCAATTTCTCGCCGGTCGAGGGCCATTTCTACCACCGACAGCACGAGGTCTGTTCCCAGGATGCGCTCCACAAACTCAGGAAGATCTCAGACTGGTCGCTGCGGCTGGGAAGCCTGGACCGACGGACGGTCAACAGCATCCTGTACCCGCTGCTCAGGCTGAGGCAGGCGTGCTGCCACCCGCAGGCCGTCCGTGGCGAGTTCCTGCCCTTCCAGAAGAGGTGAGCTGAACTACTTCGGGCCAGATGTTCCAGAAGATCCACCAGCTGGTGTCATGGTCCGGTTTGGACGATGGATTTTTTGCATTGTGTTAGGAATGGTATTCGTACTGGTACTGGTGAGTAAGCACCTAACTCAGTTGTCCAAAAGCATTTTATTAGGCACTTCCCTAATCAGCTACACAAGTACTAATCTACTCAGAGTATGAATTTTGTCACCCAGGTTAGTTACTGGTAGTAGTTCTTTAAGAAGGAGGAACTCTGTTTTATTTCATTTAAACGGTACAGATGATAGGAAGGATTTAGACCGCTGATGCCTGTGTATATACTTCTGGTCAAGTTAGAGTGCCACCTAGTGGCTGGTTGACGCGAAACATCACCTTACTACGGTGGCATGGGACATGAAGTAAGGCAACCTGCTTACCCCCCTCCCCCCCCTCCCCATTTTAGCACCATGACGATGGAGGAGCTTCTCAAGACCTTGCAGAAGAAATGCCGGGTGGAGTGTGAGGAGGCACACCGGCAGCTGGTGTGTGCGCTCAACGGCCTGGCTGGCATCCACATCATCCGAGGTGCGCCCCCTAGCTGCGCGGATGCCAGGGTTGCTGCTCAAGCACCTACCAGGGCCTTGTTTGAGGAGGACGGCTGACCCAAATTATGCTCCAGAAAAATATCCAGCTATCAGCGAAGTTTATCATCTGTCAAAGTTAAGCAGTTATAACTATTAATAGTAGTTACTATGTTTCCTGGAAAGAGCAGTGCACTACCATAGAAAGGCAAAAGGTAGACAGTCAAAAAAATGTTTTCTTGCCAGCATAATTACCGGGTCTTGCCTTTGTGGGGCAGTGCATCCTCACACCTCCAGGGTTGTGGGTTCGATTCCCGCACCTGTTAATGTGCATTAGGAGAAGTGTGAAGGAGCCCTTTCTCTGTCTCCTACAGGTGAATTTGTCGAGGCCGTGGAGATGTACAGGGAGGTGCTGCGCTCCTCAGAGGAGCACAAAGACAGGCTCAAAACGGACTCCCTCCAGGTCAGCTTCCTCCCATCCACGTCCGTCCTCCTCTTCCTCATTTCCGCCACGGGCTCTATATGCGTTTACACTTACGCTGCCCCTTTCCTGTGTCTGAACAGAGGTTACATGCCACGCACAATCTGATGGAGCTGCTTTGTGCAAAGCATCCTGGGATACCCCCGACTCTGAGAGACGACCGACTGAAGGAGGAGGTGCGTCCACTCCGTCCCTGTCACATGATTCCTGAAAAATAAGTGGTAACACTTTGCTTAAAGCTGTCATCTGTAACGCACTATAGATACATTCATAATGCATTATAATGGTCGGTATCAGAATTAATAAATCATTACATTTTCTACTGACAGTCACAAGGGATTATAGTGTTGATTATAATACTTCATAAGCTCCAATGAAGCTTTCATCTATAATGCACTATGGATACCTTTATAATGCATTATAAAGGTCAGTATAAGCATTACGGATGCTTTGTACTGCATTATGAAGGTATTTATAGTGCAGTATAGATGAGAGCTTCATAAAGCATTCATAATGCATAAACGAACATGGCTTTAATGTGTTTTGCCCTTTTATAAATATTTGTATTTTTGTAATGCTTTATGAATGTATTATAATGTGTTATGAATTTGTTCATAGATTCTTACAGACAGGGCATTCACAGAAGGTGTTACCGAATCAACTTATATACACACATGTACATGTGCAATCTTCTACATGTGAGCATGTTTGTGTAAGTAACTTTGTTGAAGTATGAGTGAGGGAATCTGCATTTATCTAAGTATAGGAGCTTCAGTGTGTAAGTAAATTTGCCTATAAGCATATGTTTCTAAGGATTAAATTTGTCGCTCGAGTGCTTGATTGCATTTTTGTCTCTGTGTGTCGGGTCCCCC